ATAATACAATTTATACACATGTATATACATATATATATAAATATATATAACTGAGTGAAATTAACTAAAACCTTAACGTTAAAAGTCAATAGCGCATTGCTTAAAGTGTTTGCATATTTATTTTGTAAACGGTTATTTCATTTCTCGTGTTGGTCGCCCCAATAATCTACAAATAAGACAAAAAAAAAAAACGAATAAAAGAAGCAAACAAGTAAAGAAAATGAACGGAAAAAAATCAATTGCCCCTGGGCAATATATTTTTTGACTGGCAACACGCATTTGAATTGGAGTTGTTCTGATTGCTGCTGCACCCCTCTCGATATATTTCACTGCGTGCAACGGGGCGTATGAAAAAGAGCTATCATAAATATATGTATATATATGACAGATATATATATTCATTCGTATATTTCTAGTGTGCTTTCGGCATTTAAATTACTTAAGCCGCTTAGGTTTGGGTTGGCTGCCTGCCTGCAAAGGCAAAAATGAACCCTAAGTCGATGATAATAATGTTGATGCTCGGAGTAGCTAAATATTCGAGGCGCTACCAATTGAGGCAGCTTGCAAATGTTATTGCCAGCTTTTGGGCACACTATTTTTTCTATGTTTTACATTAAATTGCATATTTTACGGTTTGATTGTTAAGCTTTTTACAGCTGAATTTGCGAACTTTGCCAGGCAATGCAAATGTTGCCGAGCCGCTTTAATGCTGCACTTTAGGTGTTGCGTGCTGCAATTACAAATGTTGTACTATTTAAGCACTTTAAATAAAAGTTAAAGTTATTAACATGTATTTCAGTGCCATTGCATAAAGTCCGCTTGTAAATTGTATTTGGTTTTTCTATTTTTTCCTATTTTTTACCAAGTGAAATCGGTTGCTGGAATCGTTCCACCGAATGTTGCCTCTGCCCACGAGGCGAGTGTCATGTTTTACATTTGTCACTTAATCAATTTGTTGTTGGTTACATTTGCGACTCGAATGCGCCGTGTGCTGCATGATTGTTAACGTGACATCTCGTTTACTCAGTTACCACCCCACCGCCTCCCACTGCACCCCTTGCAACCGCCCACCGAAAATCGAATTATTGATTTGCATTTGCTTCGCTGATTCGCTGATTTTCGGCTGCTGTGTGTTGCGCCCCAGACAGACACAAATGCAAACACACAAACACGCAAACAGGCGGCACAAAAAAAGCAGCAAATACACACACATGTGTCTGTCTGCCTGTGTGTGTGTGTGTGTGTGTGTGTGTGAGTGTGTTTGTTGAATCCCCACCCTAAACTTGACCCCAGCAAGCATTTGCACTTCATCAAGCGTCGTCGTCATTCGACTGTCGACCGTCGCCTGCCTGCATTACAAAGTGTCTAGGCCAAAATAAAATAAAGAGAAAGATGCCCAAATACTGTGGTACTTGACCAGGCTAACAACACACAAAGCCAACACACACACACACGCTTATCATGTGTGTGTGTATGTGTGTCAGTGTGTTGCCAAGACGCTGCAGGGCAAATAATTTTGCTCTCGCTCATCTTTCGTCCTTTCTGCTTCAGATTTTTGTCTCTCCTGTGAAAATCAAAAGCCCAAAATCGACAAATTTTGTTTGTTGGCCAAGCTGTCGCCCTTAACTTGTTGTTGTTGTTGTTGTTGCTAGCAAATCAACACATTTACATTTCGGGTGGGGATTGAGGGTGGTGATGTTTAACTCAGCCCTGGCACATTATGATTGCTTGGCATATATATTTTAATGATGCCATTGGGCTTAATGAAATTATTGTTAGCTCGAACAGCCAGGCAAGCCTACCCCTTTCCTCTCACCCCATCTTGCCCCACTCATTGGGTTAGTTAAGTATGCACATGACGTACATTTTGGCTCGTTTTGCATGCATGGCCAGAGCTATAGAATTGTGCCCGTTGTCCTGCTTCTGCTTCTGCTGCTGCTTCTGCTCCTGCTCCTGCTCCTGATTCTGCTTCTTTTGCCAAATTGTTTTTTGTTGTTTCTTATTCTTACTCAGCGTTCCGCGTGTGGCATGTTGAAACTTTATAGTGTAAAGTGCTGCCGTTGAATATATATTGGACGCAGGTGGCAGGTTTCGCCAAAAACAGCAGGCACACAGCAACATTTTATGGTTCTTGGCCGTCTGACGTCATTCGCAGGCAAATTTTTGTTGGTCAAAAGGAGGCAGAGGCAGAGCATCCACCACCATAACTGGCTTTAAGATGGCCGCTCGTTGTTTTATTTATCGTTATTATCGCTGGCAACTTGAGTGGGTTTTTGGCCGGGGCGTGTCCTGATAAACATCCAACAACGCTTGACTGCGCCCGGTTTTCTCTGCTGTTCTGCTGTGATGTAAGACCCATTGTTTGCAGACACTTAAGCCTTGTTCAAGTAGTTCCTTTATTTTTTTGTTTTTTGGGTGGTTTGAGTGATCATTGAACACTGCACAGAGTTTGACAAGAGAGCATATAATGCATTAATTATCATATTATATGTATTAAGTGGACTTAGCCATTGATTGCGATTGAAAGCGCGTGTCAGAAATGATTCAGCAATTTATGACAGCATTGCATTGCATATATAAATATATTTCTGATTGATTAGCTCATTCACAGTATTGTTGAATGATTTGTTGGCACTTCATTCGTTCGATAATTACTCAAACATAATTTCACATTCATTTCAGTTCGCCAACGGTGCGTATGAGTAACGTAATATAATTATGAGTATGCACTTTAAAGCTAGATTGTAGTAGGGCTGCTCCGTACTTATTTATAATGTGGAATATGGAATACACAATTTGAAATGATTCGCATACCATTGCTAAACGAATTTAGACAACTCAACTAACAAAGTTAGTAAAGTTCAATCTACAGTTGAATGACGAATTTGATTGACTAAATATTAAACTGCATAAGTCAGATACAAATTTAAAGTGCTACTTTAATCTGATTATTTGCCAGTTAAGGGAATATCATTAAATATATGAAAAATTCGTTAAACATAGTTAAAATAGAAATTGCAGTATCTATAGAACTATATCTATATCTGTAAAAGATTAGTGTCATTTAATAGACTGGCAAAAGATGCTCCACATTAATTATATTCACATTTCGAGTTTATCGCAACGTCAAAGCAAGCAGCAGCAGCAACAGCATCAGCTCTGGGGTTAGCCACTGATTGATTTACCACACACTGTTGTCACTTTGAGGGGGTTAACTGGGTTACAGTTGGGGCAAGGGTTGATGTGGTACAACTAACCAACTTGTCAGCTCATTCGGTGTGCCATGCAAAACCAGCCACCGCCACCTCCATCCCCACAGAGCAGTTTGCAATTGGGTGCCCAACCGCACTTGGTCCCCAGTCGGAGGGAATGAGGAAGGGAGGAAGGGAGGGAGGGGTCCGCAAACCAATATTCATGCTCCAATTGCAGTCGCCAAACAAAGCCCTGGCAAGTATGTTTATATTTAGCAAACCATGTTACCCCGAAACAGATACACAAGGGGGGGTGGGGGGGGGGGGCTGGGTGAGGGGTTGGGTAGGGTGAGGCGTTCCCAAATGATTTGCCGGACAGGCTGCTGCATCAGCACAAAAGTAAGGATCGACTAGTGGGCGATTGCTTGTCACGACAGCAACAAACCACTTGCCTCAAGTGGATGCTGCTAATGCTGCTGCTGCTGCTGTTGCTGCTGTTGATGCTGCTTCTTCCACTTCTCTGGTCGTCTCGTTAATCATGCGAATTATGTATGAAAGTAGAGTACTTAATTTCAATTGTCTCAACAACCCAACAAGACCAACGACAACAACAACAGCAACAATGTGCCCCAACGTCAAGCAGTTTCGATGTGACCTACCAATACACTTGAAGAAATTTTCTATTTACACTTGAGTGCAATTGTGGAGGGGAAGATTGCATACACAACACCAACACACACACACACACACACACATACACACACACATACACACATTCTCTGACGCCCTGGGAGTAAAATTTCCCTTGCGCAAGCTCACTCTCTCTCTCTCTCTCTCTTTCGTCAATGGTTGCTCTCTCTCATTATTGGTCTTTCTCTCTCTAGCTGCTGGGTGCTTTTGCACGCCTTTGACAATTTGCAGCAACTTGTGCGCTCGTTTGACTTGGGTTCAATTGTTTGTGATTGTCGCAACACTGACGCTGTGTGTGTGTGTGTGTGTGTGTCTGCGCTTGAACAGAGTTGTCAGCTGTTTTACTTGCATTGCGCCGCTTTCGTCGTCTTCACCCCACCTCCACACAGTCTGTCTTGCTCTTTCCATCATGCTGTGCTGGCCCATTATTACACAATTTATCTATATATATATATATATATATTTTTTTTTTTATTTTAGGTGTGGTTTCTGCGGCGACAGCGTCTGCATGACGCCCACACCCAGCCACGCCCCAAAAGTGCACATTGCGCCTGCTGCAGTTTTTAATCAATCATTTGAAACTATACAGTTTGCACGCCAGGGGGCGTTGCTGTCGCTTGGCTTTGAAAACTTTTGCATTGCATAGTTTTTGGCGGCCCGCGGCGCTGTCGCCTGCTCTCTCCCATTCTCCCATTCCCCCATTCCCACCCAAAATAACAGTAAATGCAGTAAACTGCGATTGCAGCTGCTGCTGCCTGGGCCTTGTCCCGGTTTCTATTCTCTTCTTTCTGATTTTTTTTCCTTCCCCACTTCTCATTGCTGTTTTTTTTTGTTATGTGCTGCACAGTGGGATAAGTGTGAGCGGATAACATGTGCGAATATTTATGTACATAAAATATGCGGTTTTTATTGGTGATGGGATTTGTAGAATTGATGATTTTTTAAGTATTTGTTTTTTTGTCTTTGTGCGAAGTCAGCTTCGATTCGTATCTCTTCTCTTGGGAATGGGGTTTATCTTTTAGCAGCTCATTTGATTTATCGCCTTTAGCCCAAATTACAAATTGGATTTTGAACTTTTTGGTAAAACAAGTTCAACCACTTTTGTGTTACTGTGCGGCTTGGTCTAAAGTTTCCCATTCTCTTTGTGGTTAGCTGTGCTGCACTCTTTTCGGTTCGCTTGTTGACATTGCCAGTTCATGCAAATTGGCGGCAATTAATAGCAACCAGCAGCAGCCGCAGCAGCAGCAGCAGCAGTTGCAGCACCAAAAGTCAAGTGCAAAACAAACCGAACTGAAATATTCAACGCGCAGCAAACAAAGCTAAAAAAAAAACAAAAAAAAAAGCAAAACTAAAAACAAGGAGCAGAAGAAGAAGCAGCAGGAGCAGTAGCAGCAGCACACAGGAATTATGGCTTGGGGCTATTGGTCCGCCACAACAGTGGATCGCGGACGTTCGCCGCGCCGCTTGACGCAGTGCACCCCGCTGCCTGTTAATTTAGTACAGCAGGAGGAGGAGGAGGAGCAGCCACCGCCATGTTTGCCCCAACAACAGCAACAGCATCAGCAACAACAGCAGCAACAACAACAGTCACAGCAATCGCAGACCTGCCCCAGCACACCATCTGCCAATCAGCAGGGAGGTGGCAATGGGGGCGGCGGTGGAACACTCTGCTACAGTCCGACATGTCGTTCCCGGTGCTCGAGTCCGTGTCCTGGTTCGCCGTGCGGCTCGATAACGCCGCCGCCCCCGCCATTGATGACATCCTCGCAACAGCATCTGCATCAGCACTCGAACAAGAATTGCCCGGCGGCACAGCAGCTGCTCACGCATCTGGATTACGCGGCCCGCAGACAGTCGCTTGATCAGCTGGACAGTCCGCAGGTACTGAACACGGTACTACATAGATCAGGGCAGTCCGAGCTGTGCACGATTCGAACCGACCAAATGCCGCCCAAAATGAGACACATTCGAATGCTAATTGCAATTAACTTTCAAAGCATCCCTTTTCAAAAACGGAAAGCTTTTTCGGTTTCCCTAATTGGAGTCCGCTTTAAAAATGGAAGCTCACTTAATAAATGACAAAAAGAAGTTAGTTGAATTTTGATGTATCGGAATAATTATCAGCGCGTATAGAAATATAGACAGTGATAGATTGATAGATATTGAATTTAATTTGTATTATTTTGCATCTACAGCAGACAGTTTAAAAAGTAAACTAGATTAATTTTTTACAACTAAAATTGCTGGCAAAGACTAAACATAAATGAAATCAACAATGATTATTTGTAATACACACTTTAGCATTATTTTTTCAATATAGTTTAACACACTTTTTAAAAGAGAGTATTGTCAAAAAAATTAGTTATACTTCTATATAGATATTTTCGAATTAAGAAAGATACAACGTGAAAGCTTTTAGCATTTGCTCATTTTTAGTTGGGTAGCCTGTCAGGTGCAACTTGAAAGCTCTCAGGATTTGTTTATTTGCAGTTTGATCCGAAATACATTCAGGGACAAGCCGTCAAAAATCAATTCACTTTTGTAATTCGAATATGTAATTTATTACTTATATATATTTATATATATATATGTAGAATGTGTGCTCAAGGCAACGAATGTTGTAAATCATGCACAGCTCTCACAGGAATTGACCTTTTCTGACTGACATTTTGCTTGCTTCCCTCGTCTCGTCCTCCTCTCTGTGTGTGTGTGTGTGTGTGGCAGTCGAAGTACTTTGATATTCAGGCCAATCAGCTATCGGACATCATGTGCCGCGGCGCGGTTGTCAGCTCGATACAGTCGGCGAACAATACGCTGACCCGTGGCGTCTCCCTGCACAGTCGCAGCGGCAGCGCACATGGCAGCCATCATAGTCACAGTCATCATGGCAGCGCACACGGCTCCCTCGGCTGTCTGCAGGGCAACGTGGGAGTTGGCGTCGGCGTTGGCGTTGGCACTGGCAGCACTGGCAGCATTGGCATGATGTCCGCCAGTCATATAGATACCGGGGACTACGATGTGCCTCATCCGCATCCGTATACGCATCATTATATGCAGACAACGGCATCGGTGACGCCGCCGCATGCCACATTGAGCAGGCCCGGTTCGGCTGGTGCCGTTTGCACCGGTCACGATTCGGGCTCCGATTCGAGTCAGGGCTGTGGTGGCTCCATAATGGGCGGCATGCTGGTAATGGGTCATGCCGGACATATGGGCAGCCTGGGACATCATAGCACGGGCAGCGGTTCGCTGGGTCGCTGCTCCAGTCGCTGTCACAACAATACCACAACCACAGATGACTCGGGCGGTGGCAGCAGTGGCGGTGGTGGTGGCGCCAACACTGCCACTATTGCCCTTGGAGGTGGTCCGGGCATGCTCATGGACTATCATCATGGCCATCACAGTGGCAGCGCTGGCAGCGGCCTCAATGGCTGCGGCGGCGGTGGCGGAGTTGGAGGAGGAGGAGGAGGCGGCAGTATTGCCGGTGGCAGTATTGGGGGACGCAGCAGTGTCCTGGGCACCATTCACAATGGCCACGGTCATCATCATCAGCAATATCATCACGAGTGCATCCACTACGAACGTCTGCCCATACCCGTGCCCATACCCACGGTGCCCATGGGCGTAACGCAACAACAACAGCAGCAACAACAACAACAGCAGCAGCAGCAACATCATATGTCCTCCCAACATCAGCTGCAGTCGGAGGAGGAGATCGAACCAGCCTATGCAACAGGTAATTTGTAAGGATCAGACAAGAAATACATTTCCTGGATTTTTAATTGATTTATGTTTGACTCTGAATTGATTTGTAAAAACTTTGCTCAGAGAATTATGTATTCATTTATTTTAATAGTAAAAATAGTCAGAAACATACATGTATATATTACATACATATATATATATATATTAGACAAGTAAGAGCCATACTTAATTAAGTAATAAATTCGTTTTGATTATGTCAATATCAATATCACAATTATTATATATTTCTTACTTATTTTATTGTTTACTTATTTTATTTATATGCCTATCTATTTCAAATACCGTCCAGGATTCGTCCTTGGGTAAAGTTTCACAGCCTTCAACTAGTCTGCTACATTTCGAAGCACGATTTATGTTTGGAATTCATAAATTTATTTTCTTAAACAGTCTCACTTCTGCTTCTAGTTATAAAACTGAAGTTAATATTTGTTAAATTTTATATATTTAATGTTTAATTTAATAAATATGTATATTGTTGCTGCTCTTTGAAGACCAATTGCCATCCCTGATCATCGCCACGAACTGCGTGCGTTATTTGCTGCGCTCTCACTTGCTCCCAATTAGACTTCAGCTGGTCGTTCAATTCTTGTGACAATTCAATAGCCTCTTGAGGCTGTTATTTCATTTTTTGCTTTTCTTTTCTATTTTTTATTTGTTTGCTGTTTCTTGCTTGTGTTCTTTTGTTGTGCTTTTGTGATTTCGGTTCTTTTGCTCAGCTTTTGTATTCGCCTCAGTTCGCATCTGAAAGCCGCGCGGTGACGACGAGTCGCGCGTGCCAAATAAACTTATATACACACTTATATATCATATATATATAGCAAATAATATTATTTATACATAATTTGTGGACTTGGTGCTTTGACTTTTGTGTATTTCTAATTGAAAAAAAAACACTTGTGGCGCCGCTTTTTGCGGCTGTTGTCTGCTTGTCTGACCTGAACGCTGAACTTCACCAAACCAACCAAAATGATCATCTGGAGCGGTTTCTGTGAGGCGGCACAAATTTACAGCACCCAAACGGCCAGTTTTATGAGTGGCGGTGTCTCGTGTTAGTATGAATCTGGTGGATACCAACCAGCAACCACCAACCACAACCACTTAAAGTGTCCAATAGCTGTCAGTTTTGAAAGCAATACAAGATCACTTGCTGAGGCATGCATATATATATATTTATATGAGTCAATAGCTGTCATTTAAATATAAAGCACTCGTTTTATTTTAATAGCATAGAATTTGTGTTATGCGCTGATAGGAAATGCGTAAGCCTGTCGCATGGAATCCACACAAGTGCCACACTTCATTAGAATTTGGCTCTCCATGTGTTTGCTGATTACAAAGAGATTTCACACGCCTTCCACTTGCATTCCACTTGCGGGGGTTTTTGCTTCAATTTTTTTTTTTGTTTCGTTATCTGTAGCTGAGTAACCCTAACCCTCCGCACGACCTTCACACTTGTTGGCCGTTGGCCAGTTGGCTAAGTCATTGACTAAGCCGACTGCTTAACGACCCTTTCTTTCTCAAATTAACAGTTAAGCCACTTATTTATTTCCCAATATTTCTATCTGGTCTATAAAATCTAGCTCGTTATCTCATTCACCAGGGCTATGAGTAGCTCTCCGCTGTACACTAAGAAAAACAACAACATCAACATCAACAACACAAACCAAACAAATTTTGTCATCCATATCGCATAGTGCTGATAAGAGCTCCTAACTACTAAAACGCTCACCGATAACGCTCAAAAAAAAAGATATGTGTGTTTGAAACACAAGTGAATATTAGAAATAAGGGATTTCTAGGTCAACGCTGTGTGTTGTGACAACTTTTGTGGCCTTGTAGCGCAGTCCGATCACATTATTGAACCCTGTTTTGTAGGAATTGTGGGAACAGCAAACAGCAAACAGCAGTTTCAATCACTAATTGAATACGAGTGATAACTAAAGCATTGCAAAAGAAATACTTCTCGAGTTGCGAACAATTGAGCTCAATTGAGATGAACGGAACCACAACTGAGCCACAATCGTTTCGTCTCTTTGGTGTGCTCCACCAGGAAAAACTTAATTAACTGTGGCCAATTACTTCTGGAAAAACTTCTCAAAGAGAGCGCCGAGTTCTCCCTCTCTCCCTCACTCTCACTCTCACTGTGACCCTCTCTATCAGTGTGTTACTCACTTGCACTGTATTTTGTATATGGTGCGTAGTGTGACGATTCAGAGATAAGAAGTCAGTCGACTCGAGTGTTTTGTCTGTTTCAGTCATGCAGTTGGCTCTGACATGCTAACAAGCCACATCAGACTCAGACACAACACAACCATCGACACAACCACGGCAAATGTGGCTGGGCAAAAATCCGTTTATAAGTACTTTTATATATATATATATATATCAAATATATACAACCCAAATATAAATTTTGTGGGGCATATTGTGTTTGGCCATTAAATTGATAAGGCCAGGCCCAATATCATGGGTAAACCCACTGGCCGTAAGCATGAAACTCAATTAAATCTGATATATATTTTGTATTTGACTTAATTATATCTTATGACATTTTTTCTATGCTTCATTTGTATATTTGCAGTATTTCCCAATGTTCCTCAAGCGCCGGGCTTGTCCTGCGATGGCGAAGATCGTAAGTGTTTCTCTTTCATTTGTTTTCCCATTTTGTTAATCAAAATCATACATTTTCCTTGCAGGCAGCATTTACAGAAGAGGCGCTCGCCGCTGGCGCAAATTGTATCGCGTCAATGGACACATTTTCCAGGCCAAGCGTTTCAATCGCGTAAGTAGCAACACATGTGTATCTGTGTGCAACACATGATATCTAAATAGAGAAGCCATCCATTCATTGCACACTGTCATGGGGTCAACGGAACCAGAACTAGAAAGCCAAAAGTTACAAACGAAATTGTTATGTTAATTCAGTAAAGTTCAAGTGAAGGAAATGGGCTAAGTTCGCTTTGTATGCTATTCAAAAAGTCATAGAATATTCATTAGACAAGCACTTCAAAGTTAAGATATTAATTCAGTTAAGTTAAACTCGAATCAAACTCAGTTGACTCAACTTACATTTAATTTTAAATGCTATTCGAACAATGATTTTCTGATCAATTTAAAGTCATATAACATCATTAGATAGAATTAGACTTAAAAACTGACGCACCTTAATCTAATTAAAGCGTTCCTTAATCCAATTAAGATATTCTTGCAAATAATACAAATTATAATATATATTTTGTAAATATTTCACTTGTAAATATCTGTTTGATAGACTCTTTAAACTTCTCTTCTATTTATACAATTATCGCTATTAATAATCATAAATATCATATTTCATCCACTGAAGTTTGAAATTTGTATACATTTCTCTCATATTTTACTATTCCCTATTTCAGCGTGCCTTTTGTGCGTATTGCCAGGATCGAATCTGGGGCCTAGGTCGACAGGGTTTCAAGTGTATCCAGTGCAAGCTGTTGGTGCACAAAAAGTGTCATAAGCTCGTGCAGAAACACTGCACCGATCAGCCCGAGCCGTTGGTCAAGGAACGGGCCGAGGAGTCGAATGATCCAATGCCGGTGCCATTGCCACCGCTGCCGTATGAAACTGTTGGCGGCGGTGCCGATTCGTATGAGCCGCACGAGCATGCGCACATTGTGGTGCCGCCACCGCAAGAGGATTCACTGGAGCCGGCCACCCAGCGTCAGTATTCGCTGAATGACTTTGAGCTGATACGCGTCATTGGGCGTGGCAGCTATGCCAAGGTGCTGATGGTGGAGCTGCGACGTACGCGTCGCATCTATGCGATGAAGGTGATCAAGAAGGCGCTGGTCACCGATGACGAGGACATCGACTGGGTGCAGACCGAGAAGCATGTCTTTGAGACGGCCTCGAATCATCCATTCCTCGTCGGGCTGCACTCTTGCTTCCAGACGCCCTCGCGCCTCTTCTTTGTCATTGAGTTTGTGCGCGGCGGCGATTTGATGTATCACATGCAGCGACAACGTCGCCTGCCCGAGGAGCATGCCCGCTTCTATGCCGCCGAGATTAGTCTGGCATTGAATTTTCTGCACGAGAAGGGCATCATCTATCGTGATCTAAAGCTGGACAATGTGCTATTGGATCATGAGGGCCACATCAAGCTCACCGATTATGGCATGTGCAAGGAGGGCATTCGTCCCGGCGACACAACATCCACATTTTGCGGCACACCCAACTATATTGCGCCCGAGATATTGCGTGGCGAGGATTATGGCTTCTCGGTGGACTGGTGGGCACTGGGTGTACTCCTTTACGAAATGCTTGCGGGTCGCAGTCCCTTTGACATTGCGGGCGCTTCCGAAAATCCCGATCAGGTCAGCTCCAAATACACGATTTTCACGAGTTAATTTTGAAATTCATTGAAATGCATTTGTACAATTGCAGAATACTGAGGATTATCTGTTCCAAGTGATTCTGGAGAAGACCATACGCATACCGCGGTCGTTGAGCGTTAAGGCTGCCTCCGTTTTGAAAGGTTTCCTCAACAAGAATCCCGCTGATCGTTTGGGTTGCCATCGCGAATCTGCCTTCATGGACATTGTCAATCATCCGTTCTTCAAGGTCATCGACTGGGAGATGGTAAGTCCGAGGCCAGCTCATCGACAACTGCATTCGTGTGTTCTGTGTTCGTGATTGTGTCCATGTTGATAATAATGATGATGATATTTGTGCTTCAATCTTTATAATACAGCTTAAATAGGCTCATAGCTCTTTGTATTGCTAGTCCACATAAATAATTGGCAGCTTGTGTGGGTTTAAGTTGTAGTTTAGGTTTAAAATAATAAATGAGTACATTTTTTAAGTCTGAAGACAGATACTCTTTGTATCCCATAATTGGTGTTTGTAGTATTCCTGAAGCAGAACTCTCTTTGCCTTCTATAATTGGTTTTGGCAGTGTCTGTCTGTCTTATAAAGTTCCTGAATATTTGATTAATTGTAAAAGGGTCCAAAAGCTGTCCCGTTTCAAGTGGAGACTAGGTTATTTTGTAAAGCGACACAGAATCAAAGATATTTCGAACAATTTGATATGTTTGCACATGTGAAATAAGAGTAAAGCAGTTTTAAAATAATTTTTATATATTTTTCATTTAAAAGAAAGGTTTGCAATCGATATCAATCTTATTTATTTGCTGGCGTTTTATAAATATTGCGCCAATTTCTTTACCTTAATAATAAATATAATTTTGTGTATAAAAAGATTGCACAAAAGGAGGTACAACCGCCTTATATACCAACCCTTGATCCTGGCGATCCATATATGACAACAAACTTTGACGTTCAATTTACCAGAGAACCGGCTGAATTGACGCCAGACGATCCGTAAGTTTTGGGTCAACAAACAACCAACAAAAAATAAAAATAAAAAGTAAAAACACACACAAAGAAAAGAATATGCCTTCCAGTTATTTTGTTCTTAATGTATACCGACGCATGAGACAATCCCAAAAAAAAAAGAAACCCCTAAATAAAATAAGAACTTCTGCATTCTGCGCTCAGACTAACAGCAGGTAATGTTTGCTATCAGACCACATTGTAAACCCGCCCGCTGCCCCCATCTCTATTACCCAAATACAAAAACAAAAACACCCCCAACCCCTCGCTCTCTATCTACTTATCATCATTATCATTATCACGTACACACAAAAAAAAAAAAAAAGAAAAGACAAGGAAACTCACAGGGACATGCATTTTTAATGTGTCCTGAGCCCAATGAAATTTGCTTTTACGTTTTGCCTAAATTGGCTGGCAGTATCTTTTTAGCTATAACCATTTTATTTTTACTATCTTTGCATATAAACATATCTATAAATCTCCTGCACACATCGACTATCCACAATTACAATCAAACACACACACTCCTGCTGCACACGCCAATTTCAACCTCATGCAGCTCGAACGCAAACAGGTTTCGCCTCCATTCAAGCCACGTTTAGACTCAGATCGCGATCTGGCCAATTTCCCGATCGAGTTTACCGGCGAACCGGTGCAGCTGACACCAGATGATGAGTAAGTTTTTTTCTATTATTTGGTTTGTTCATCTCTTTCTCTCTCCCTCCCTCTCTTGATTCGATATTACAGGTTTATTTATTGAATTGGCTAAACTAATATATTATTGTCTCATCCATAGCCATGTCATTGACAACATCGATCAGTCGGAATTCGAGGGCTTTGAGTATGTAAACCCATTGCTCATGTCATTGGAGGATTGCGTCTGACACCACGAGACGTGTGATTTGCATCCTTATAATATGCGTGTAAGTTTCGAGAGAGATTCACTTAGCAATTGCTCGATTTAATTCAACTAATTACCAATTTGCAGCTCTATGGCGAGGACTCCAGTGATTACGATTCCGTGGCTGACGATTTAAGTCTACTGCATTTGAACAGCGCAGGTGGTGCAGCCAATACCAATAATAATATAAGCCAGCAGCAACATTATCGCCAACAGCAGCAACAGTCGCAACTGACACAGCAGCAATATCATCCATACCAACAGCAGCAACAGCAACAACAACAACAGCAGCAGCAGCCGCAACTGCAACAGCATCTGCAGCAGCAGCAACAGCAGCATCAGCAGCAGCAGCAACATCATAATGGTAACAATAACAATCATAATAATCACATGCAAGCAAATAATAATAAAAGTCTACTGCAGCACATGTTTTGCCTTCCATTGAACTAATTAAAATAACGAATTAGATAAAGAACAGCAACAAGAGCAACAGCTAAACAGACAGCAACAACAACTAGCAAATGCAACAAATAAACAATTTAAATACTAACATTACTTATTAAACAAATAATTATAATCTTCTATATACAACTGTCTTAAAGTAAAAACTGAGAAAATAAGAACTACTTTCATACCAAAAAAAAAAAACAAACAAAAAAAGCAACAAAAAAACAAAAACTGTCACAAATTGCGAGTATTACACTAAACTACAAACGATTACTTTACTACTTATGCACCTAGGCAATTAGACAAACTCTTTGCATGCAACAACAACAGCAACCAAAACAACAACGGCAACAACAGAAGAAGAAAATTTCAATATTTAATGCAAGACTTTTCAGCAAGACACTTAAAAAGTATGCGAGGCAGCAAACAATTTTTAAGCTAATAAATCTACAATACACATCTAAAAAACAAATATATATATATATATAATTTTTAAATATTTAAAAGCAAGACATTTAATTTTACTACAAAAACAAAATAGAAACACAACAAAAATAAAATAAAAAAGAAAATCAATCTAATATATTTAAGCGCGTAAATAAATAAATAATGTAAAATGTATGTGTGTTAGTGTTAGTGAGCAGAATGGTTTTTAAGTGCAACAGCAACAAACTGATAAAATGTGTGTGTAAGCAGAAAATGCGTTAAAGTATAGACATAATTGAACTGGCAAAATTATCAAAAATAACAACAACAAAAAAACAAAATGAAATCATTATCAAAATTTGATGATACGAACAAAAGTTGAATCACTATAAAATATATATATTTATATAAGCAATTAATAATTTATTGTATTTTCTGTATTATTGAATTTACACACAAAATCGTAAAAGCATCCGTCTACTGGCAATATCTCTTTGTTTTTTGTTAAAGTATTAGAAAAACTTTGCGTTTTCAACAAAACAAACACATTCCACTTTGTACTTACTATACGAAATTGTTGTTAAATTATTGTAAAATACGTATAAGTATGAGATTCCCAGCAAGCAATAAAAAACAAAAGAAAAACAAAAACTATTATTATTATAATCACTGTCCCTTTTTATTGCTAGTTGTAAACGAAATCAAAATTGAATTATTTTCCAAACACACGCATTTTGTGTGTTCCCTAGAAAATTGTTCCAATTCTTTGCACTGTGTGAGTTTTTAACAAAATACAAAAATATACAAATATTTAAATAAAATTGTAAATTATGGTTTTTATAACCCTTAAAACAAGTAGAGATATTTAAACAAACAAATGAAACAGAATTCAATTAGTATTAATACCAAAATATCATTGTGTTGCTTTAACTTAAATGAGAATTTACCTAAATTGTGTTGAAAATTAACTACAAATTTTTTAAATCAATCGTATATGATAAACAAAACAAAATAAGGTTAATTGTTAATGTATTCAAAGTGGCAACACAACATTAAGCAATTTAAAATTATTAAACACTCAAAAAGGAAAACAAAAAAATACACACAACAACAAAATACCAACAACAACAAAATGTTTTGATTAAACAAAAATAATAGCAAACAATCAATTAAAGCGTAACATAGTAAATAATTTATATACTTACATAACTAAGTACATACCTATTAAAAACAAGATGACGAACACACTGAACAAATTTAGAATGCACATTTTTAATTGTAAAAAAAAAAAACAAAACAAAAAACGTAGCAACAGCAATGAAATAATGAAAAATGAGTTTTTAAGTTAATCGAATTTTGATAAAGTTCACCAGTTAAACGAAAATTGTAGGCAGAAATATAATTTATATAAATATACATATTAAATTTTCTACTTTTTAGACAACTATATTTATAATAGTATTTTGTGTGAAAATTAAGATTACTTTCTTTGTTTACTTTACGAGTAATTGTTGTATGTTTTGTCCAACTGCTGTTTTTGATCAATTTGATTTGTATTTGTACAATTTTTTTACATACTAAACGCACTTTGAGTACTTTAAATGCTAGCAAAATGTCAAACGAAATTGAGAGCGCAAACAATTTGCGTTACAATTATGCATCTAAACAAACGAATAAACTATTGTGTAAGTAATACATTTTTGTTATTTTTGTCGTGTTTGGGAATTGGGAAACTCCACTTCTCATCGATAATACCCTGTACGTGGTTGTATTACTTGATTGAATCGGGATTTGTGTCTCGGGTATATACTAAATTTTTTGGATTGTAATCCGTTTTATTAAGAATCTAAAACTAACGAAAATGTAACAAATACAAGGTGTGTTTGTGATGATCCCCTTTTCAGTTAGTTTGCAGTATGGAGACGGGTTCCTGCATGATTTGCTGTATCTTTGCTTCCGGCACCGGCGTTCCATTAACGAGCAGGGTGTGAACAATGCCATCGTGCTTGTTGCCGCTGGAGCGTGCCTGTAATACAAATTGAGTGTCCTGCAGGACAAAACTAGTATCCGTGCCGCCGTTCACGAAAACTGCCTACAAAATGGTAATGGCATGATTGATTGGCAGCCTTGGTTTATATCCGCTCCAGCTTACCGTCTCCTCGCGCAGTTCATCGTTCACGAACAAGCTGAGCGTGTCCAGCTTGAGCATAATGCGATATTCCTGTGAGGCATCCATCGCTGCCCCCGCCTGCCCCGTGCCACTGGTGCACAGCCAAAGCCTATATTGACGCGTCAATTCCTCCGTGTACTGAGCATGCGGCTTGCCATCAATATACAGCGAATACTCGTACTTGAAACCGGGTGCGGGATCAACGCGTATAATGCAGCGAGACTGATCGATCTCAAAGGTATCCTCGCCGACTAACTTGAACATCCAGTCACGTCGCAGCACCTCCTGCGAAAAATGGTAAGTGCTGCAGATCTTAAAGGATTCATATAAACCATAGAAATAAATCTTGATGAGCCTGGGAAGGAGATCGCTCTTGTCCCAGAAATTATATAGATTGTTGATCAGCATCAATTGAAAAGTCAATTTTAGCTTGATCAGTTTCTTTTTTAAGTTGAAAGATTAGTTCGACAAATGAGTTCTTGTTTTGGGAAACTTACACAATTTTTCCATCTTATTAAAAAATTTTAGAATAATTCGTTTATAGTTAATTATCGTTGAAGAAGGCACAGAAGTTAATCAAGACATATTTGATATTTTAAGTATTCTTTTTATTTTATTTTATTTTATGTGGCCTAAAAACAGTTTTAAAAAAGTGTTAACAAATAAATATTTAAAATGCTAATAAGCAAAAATAAAATAAAGGACTTCAAATTAAAATTCTGTAATTAAATTAAAATTTAAAGTAAAAACTGTATAAATATATATAAACAAATATAGGCGTAAATAAGCTTAAAACGGTCCAAAATGTATTGCAAGGTTTGAGGAAACCCTGAAAAAAACGCAGTCAGACCCAAAATTATGAAAAGTTAGTAGAAAAAAAGTATATAAAAAACTGAAACTTGAATTTGTGTTCCAATTGTAGAGTATTTGCACGTGGAGCACTCGACTAGACTCTGAATATGTTAATTGTATTCGTATTTGTTTTTGGTGGCAGTGCTACTAATTGCGTTGTTTATGGGGAGGCAAGCCAGGTAAAGTGCATTCACCACTTACCCGACCATTGACCCAAATCATGCGGCGTCCACTTGTGGTGCCGTGCTCCAGTTCGATGCGGTACATCTGAAGTTGGAGTTAAGTCGAAAAGTTAATTAAATGTTAATCAATTTTGTTGACGTTCAAATGGAATGAGTTGAGTTTAGATTTGGATTTGGATTTGATTTGATGTTGATATTGATATTGATTTGGGTATATAACCTTGCCGTTGATGGGGGCACACCATTGAGCAACGATGTTGTCTTTGTTGTAGCGCTGAGCCTCGGGCACATGATCCTGACTCATGATGGGCACCGTCGACAGGTTCTCCATGCGCAACGATGGCGACAGAAACGACATAGTCCACGTTGGACACACACTGAAAATCGATTTCAAATTAATATAATACTTTAATAATTGCATACGAAATGCATGCATGCAAATTTGATTACACAATGCTGAAGTGTGTTACAAACAAAATAATTACAACAAATTACACATTAAAGTTATTGTACATATTATTTAATTTGCTTATTAACACCTTTAGGTTCGCTGCCCAATTAGCTGGTCTGTGTTTTCTAGCTTGCCAGCTAGCTAGCTAGCTGGATGTGTGTTGCCAGCGCTTAAAGCGGAAATGCGACGGAAAACGCGACCCGTTAACATTCAGCGTCAATGGCACACTAAACAACACACAATAATGGCTGAGAAAGAACTCAACTGAAATTTCTATAGCAGTAGTAGTTGTTCTTGTTGTTGTTGTTGTTGTTGTAGTTGGTTGACGGGTTTGTTGGCTCGCTGCCTGCTGCCTCTGGCCCTTATCGGCTTCTGCTGCTGCTGCTGCCGCTGCTGCTACTGCTGCCGCTGCTGCTTCTGGTCGAGTTGCGTTCGTCTATGGGTCCTTTCTGTTGTGGCTAGAAAAAAGTGCAGAGCCAGAGCCAGAGCCAAAGCCAAAGCCGAAGGCAAAGCACAGCGCTGAGCGCCGCATGGCGCTAAAACAGAGTCGATTTGTTTCACTTCAAGTGTGCGTACACTCAGCAAAAAAACGTTTAGAAAATTGACTAATGATGCCTTATTTTTTTTGACAAGAACGATTTTGTCTAACTGTAGTTGGATTAATTTATGAATATGAATAAAAACAACTGTTATTTGTTTTGTTTTTAATATTTCTTATCATTTTTGTAATTGCTTAAAATTATAAATAAATAGTTAAAGTGCTTATATATTTCATAAACTTATAAGTGAATTCCAAAGGGTCTCAAGTGTGGATTCGAGCACACCTTTTTTCTAAGTGTGTGTGTTTGTTTGTTTGTGTGTGGCGTTAAGCCCCACTTCTAAGCACTTTTGTGGGTGTATGCGTTAGTCTGTGTGTGTGTATGTGTATGTGTTTGTGTTTGTTGTGTGTTAACATTTGCACACATGTCGCCGACGCCGTCGACGCCGACGACGTTGAGCATAAAAATAAACTTTACTTATTCAGGCAGCTCCGAGCGCCGCCAAGTATGCAATTGTTATGGCCATAGCTGGAATGTGGTAACATAGGCTATATCAAACCGTTTGTCATATAAAGCTTATAACTTCTCTATACCCAAGGATATATACTGAAATCAGCGTATGCCGAAATACATTTACAATCATCAATCAATTGTAAAAACGATAGAAACAAAATTAATTTATATGATTAAGTGATTTCCTTTTCGTTTTTTGTTGAGTTCTATAATAAATGGGAATACCCTGGAAACGATTGCTTTTGATGTTTAATGCTGTTTTCTCTTGAGAACACGATAAATGTAGATAATTTAGGGTATCTCAAAGCTGTGCCTCAAGCGGCACCTCTCAATTGGTGTCCCACTAACGCATTGCAATTGAAACGCTGGCTGCCTTGAGCTTTGCCTCAAATTGAGCGTAAGACAACACTTTTTGGTTGCTTATATCAATTGGCTGCGTTCTTTGCCCCACGCCCCCCCTCAAAGGAAAATAAACTTTCTACATACAAATGTGACAATTATATTGCCCGCGGAGGGGTGGCATAAATTTGATGGGTGGCAAACTCCTTGCCTGTGCTGTCTGTGTGCTGCGTGCCACAGCATATCGGGTTTTCGGGGGCGTCGCAAATTTGTCGCATTTTGTTTTGCTGTCATGTTTATGGCGTAATATTTTGCGGCCATAAATATTCGCCAAAAATGCTAATGACCGCTTACAGGCAAGGGGATGGCTGAGAGGCAGTGGAGGTCTGGCCAAACAATGGCAGCGATAGATAGATAGATAGATCTATGGATATATAGATAGATAGTGTGACAGCTTGCGTTAGTTTTGTATTTCAATTTGGCGAAAAAAATAAATAAATAAGTATTGATAAATGTATTCGGCACACAGCGGAGCTGCAGTCACATCATATGTCAAATTGGGGCCTTGACGATTATTCTTAGCACGTCGATTGTGTCTGTGTGTGTGTGTGTGTGGGTGTATGTGTGTGTGTGGGAGATGGATATGGATATACGAACAAAAAAACAAGTGAAAATAACAAAAAGAAATAAAGAAGCAGGCATTTTCCACACGCGAAGGTCAATGAAAAAGTAACATTTCAAACCGCTTACAGCCGCTGTATGTACTTTTGCTGTATTTATTGTTGTTATTTCGGTTACCGCTAACGCAACACACAACAACAGCAACAAAAACAGGAACGCAACGAGTCCATGGAGATAACGAGAAACGAAACATGACAAGGACAAGGGCCCCCAACTGGCAACTGGCAACTGACAACTGTCAGTCCTTGTGTGTGTGTGTGTGTGAGTTTTGAATGTGTGGCTGGCTTTAACATTATTGTATATCAAATAAGTTAAAGCTTTTGTTTTTCCTGCTCTTTTCACTTGCAATCAAGAAAAAACAGAAGCTGACAAATCTAGATTTAAAAAAATACTGTAAATGCCGTAATGACTGGCTTATGGTCGAGTTGTAATTAAAACACCAGTTGTTGTTATCGTCTATATTTATCTTTATTTATGTGTACGCATTCTTCTACTTAGATTGGCAAATAATAATCGGCTGTTTCCACAGCGTAGAGTCTAATCTGATCAACTGGCTCTCTTCATTTGCTGGCGCTCTCTTAGCACTCTCAGTTCGGTTTCGCGTTCTCCGCAAATGCGTTTGCGCATAATTTGAAATGTAGAAAAGCTTCGAGGCACGTAAACAAAAGAGCAACCAATGCATACGAGTACATGCCCATACACAGACCTTATACAAACTTTAAGCTTTCGTTGTGAAATTTCGATCTGTGTAGTGTACTAAATAAAGCTTTGGGTCAAGCACAGTCAATCAGCTGTTTTGAATGAGTAAACACGCACAAACAAAATATGGAAGAAGTTAGTTTGGAAAACAAAAAAGACACAAGTAAATAAATAAGTGAAGATAAATTTTAGCAAACAAATATTCACGTTCAAGTTTTTGATTCTCCGACAGTGAGCACAATTACAAACGCAGTAAATGTATTGGCCATTGGGGATGAAGAGGAGACTTCAGAAAGCAACAACCTGGCGCCAATATCCAAACAGAAACGTTTTCAGATGCGTTATGAGAAGCATTTGAGTATACTTTTAAATGGGGGTCGACCACTCAGCAGCGATTGTAAGAAGTGGAATTCTTATGAGTACTTTTCAGTGGCAAGCATCAAGGAGGAAAATCAACCCAGACGTTATCACTTTCGCTGCAGTCGCAAAAGAGATTTTCGGAGTGGTGAAATTTTTAATGGACCCACTTTTAAGGCCCAGCATGTAATGGATGAAGTTAGAAAAGTACTGAAAGATGAAAATTGGATATCAGAGTATGTCATCGAAACGCCTCTAAAAGGAAAAACTGAAGCTGACGCATGCTATAATTGTGATCAATACATTCAAAATGTAGCTTCTTACGCCATGGGTGCAGCGTATCAAAGGATTTTTCTATTTGTGCTTCATTTACACAAAGAATATATGAAAAATAATTAACAATTTCATATATAAGTTTAACATTTACACATTCGTCTAATATTAAACTAAATGGTTTATTTACCAAAAAAAAACTATTCATTTGTATCAAAGTCTTTTATTAAGATCTTATATTTAAAAACAAATCAAGCAAAACAAATAATTATTTTGGATTTTCTTGGAACAGCTGACTGATGGAATCACAGAAAGCTTTACTCTCTTTTAAGCTCTCCAAGAGAAAATAATCAAAAGCACAACTAATACAGGCATATCAAATAATTACACAGTGCTGTTTGACTAAAGCAATACTACTAAAAAACATAAAGCTTTTTTCGAGCTTACATTGTGAAATTTTGTTCTCTGCTACAAACTTTTGCCAATAACAAAGTTGAGTTTCAGCCAGTCAGCAGTTAAGGGGAAGTAAACCAATCGCAATAAATATGGCTCAAGTTGAAACAGGAAAAGAAACAGATAAATGTAATTAAATTGAAGACCTGCAAATACATATTTGTATATAATTTTAATCAGACGTATATCCAGCATCCAAAACAGAAGTATTGGCTATCGGCGATGGCGAAGAATGGCCAAAGACGAGAGAGAAATGCAGCCACATGTCTTATATCTCTTCATTTGAATATTTGCGTCTACTATTTGGGGGAATTCGTGAGCCCATCGAGTTTTCCAAAGATTGGAAATTAACGGATCATTTTGCAGTGGCGGTCATCAATCAAGATAATCACCACAGACGCTATCAATTTTATTGCTCCAAAGGATTTAAATTTCCGGATCGCGCTTTAATTAGCAGTTTCACATTCAATGCGCAGCTTGTAATGGATCATGTTCGAAAACGACTTAAACGCGAAAAATGGATATCAGAGTATGTCATTGAGACACCATTCAAAACAAAACCGAAGTCATATTGCTCTTCCGATCAATACATTCAGCAAATAGTTTCCGAGTCCCTTGATGCAGAGAAAACTAGATTATTTAAATTTGTGATTTTTTTACATAGGGAACACATGAAAAAATTGTAATAATTTGTAGCTTTTAAATTGTTTATTAAATATTCTGTGATAAGGATTGTTTTGTGTTTAAACCGTAGCTTACAAATCGTTGTACATATTTAGCTCGCTCTCCAATTGTCTGACAAACTAAAGACCAAAGAGTTAATATATTTACAAGCTTACTATTGAGTTTGCTTGAAGTTGCAGCTATAAGAGCAGTATTTGTGTTTTTATGTATTATGTCTTAGAACCGGCTTATTTGGGATTCACAGAATAATTCTTTGGGAGAGCAACTGGTCAACTGAGTAAATCAGATCAACTTGAAATTCGTATGACGGCATGCAGTCTATAAAAATGGGAGAGAGCTTTTAGACAGTCACGAAGCGACGTCACAAGCGGAAGAGAAATGTTTTGATGAAATTCTTTGTATTTTGCTATTCGTAGTGCTTAAAGCAAAGCAGAGAGAGAGCTTTTATACAGTCGCGGAGTTGGCTTCAAACGAGTAATGAGTCAGCTGCCCCACACAGTCACAATAGATAAACGAATGGAAGAAGTTAATGCGGAAAATGAAACAAGTAAGCTAAAATTGTTGTCCATCATGGCAAATGTAAATGAATCCTATTTTCAGCGCCACAGGCCACAGTTACGTCACAAGCGAAAGTATTGGCTATCGGAGATAGGAGCATACAAAAAACAGGAAATAACAATAAGACTGATTTTAAGGATGACTGTACAATTCATCTTGCTCGACTTTTGATGGGAGCAGGAGTTCCTGTAGGCAAAAGAAATAGTTGCGATTTGTCGGATAGGTTTACAATGGAGATTATTGAGGATGATAACAAAACCAAAAGCTGTCATTTTCATTGTCAGACCGATGTAAACTTTACAAATAATGGTAATGGCTATAATAGTCTGCTGGTCAATGCAGAGGCCATAATGCATGGAGTGAGACAACGATTGAAAGGAGAAAATTGGAAATCGAAATATGTGATGGAGCTGCCACTCAAATCCAAACCTAATCCTAAACTATATGGATTCGGAGAACTTTATGATACCCATCACTATATTAATGATGTAATTGGAAGCGTCTTTCGTGACGAAGAAAATCAACTTTATCATTTCCTCTGTTATTTTCACAATGAATATGTTGAAGAAAAGACGAAAAAATAAATTTCTTGTGACCAGTTTTAAAAATCCTTAAAATACTTTAATTAATTGCTTAAGCAGTAGGCGCAAAAGAGCAATTCGCATACTGAAAAGACGCAACTAAAAGTATTGATGACAATAAAATTAAGTTATCATCGAGCTTTTACCGCAGCGCTTTTTATGAAATTAATTGTATTGCGTTATGCGTAGTGTATAAAGGCAAAGCAGAGAGAGCTTTACACAGTCACGGAGTACGCTTCAAACGAGATTATTGTGGAGTAAACGGGATCTTCAGATTTTGTGTTAAAATAATACTAACTATGGAAAACGAAGATGCCAAAATCGATACAAGTAAGCTACAATTCAAGATTTCTCAAGACGTAAACGGAATTTGTAATAGTAAAGCTTTTTTTTCCATCAGTAACATCGAAGACAGAAGTATTGGCTATTGGAGAGAAGAGAAATAAGAACAAAAAAAAGAGAAATAAGCCAGCAGAAATAATCGATGAAAGAGCGAAATTCAATGACGATTGCTTGAAGCGGATTGGTCTACTTCTAATGGGAAGTCAAGCTCCCATTGGGGGTGCGGACGATTTAACCGCATCGGATTGGATTGGAATGGAGACGATTAAAGAACATAATAAGCCTGATCGTTTTAAATTTTACTGTCTACGCGGTAAAAATAATCCGAATACTAAGTTATGGTTGTTCCGCATACATAATGCTCACGTTATATTGCACGGAGTGAGAAAGCTACTGAAAGACGAAAATTGGATATCTAAAGATGTGATACAATCCCCACTCAAAGCAGATGTAAGCGGTCAATACTATAATGATGAGGCATACTACATTCAGAGAATAATTGCTGAAGTAGCTCATGATGAATACGATAAGCTGTGTCAGTTCGTGCATTATTTAAACTTCGAACATAGTAAAAAGTCGGCAAAAGTTTAATTCATATACATGAATACAACAATATTTAACAATTTACACTATTTCTTGATGTGCAAAGATTACCAGTTCTGTCATCGGTACTCATGCTTTGGACGACGGGATTGCGTGCTTCCTGGCTGCAATTAATTTCCGTAATCTTTGGGTGCCGACAAGAACAACAGAAAAACCATTCGAAGCCTTATCGAAGAACATTAATCAAATGAGCTGGTTCCCCTTCTTTTTTTGTTTTATTAAAAGATTAAATCGTTGCAATGCGAAATGACAGTGGGAAAGTTTGAGAGAAATATGCTGAAGAATAGGCGAAAAAATAAATTTCTTGTGAGCAGTTTTAATATTATTTAAAATACTTTAATTAATTGCTTAAGCAGTAGGCGCAAAAGAGCAATTCGCATACTGAAAAGACGCAACTAAAAGTATTGATGACAATGAAATGAAGCTTTCATCGAGCTTTTACCGCAGCGCTTTTTGTGAAATTAATTGAATTGCGTTATGCGTAGTGTATAAAGGCAAAGCAGAGAGAGCTTTACACAGTGACGGAGTACGCTTCAAACGAGATTATTGTGGAGTAAACGGGATCTTTAGATTTTGTGATAAAATAATACAAACTATGGAAAACGAAGATGCCAAAATCGATACAAGTAAGCTACAATTCAAGATTTCTCAAGACGTAAACGGAATTTGTAATAGTAAAGCTTTTTTTTCCATCAGTAACATCGAAGACAGAAGTATTGGCTATTGGAGAGAAGAGAAATAAGAACAAAAAAAAGAGAAATAAGCCAGCAGAAATAATCGATGAAAGAGCGAAATTCAATGACGATTGCTTGAAGCGGATTGGTCTACTTCTAATGGGAAGTCAAGCTCCCATTGGGGATGTTGACGATTCAACCACATCGGATTGGATTGGAGTAGAGACGATTAAAGAACATAATAAGCCCGATCGTTTTAAATTTTACTGTCTACGCGGTAAAAATAATCCGAATACTAAGTTATGGTTGTTCCGCATACATAATGCTCACGTTATATTGCACGGAGTGAGAAAGCTACTGAAAGACGAAAATTGGATATCAAAAGATGTGATACAGTCCCCACTCAGAGCAGATGTAAGCGGTCAATACTATAATGATGAGGCATACTACATTCAGAGAATAATTGCTGAAGTAGCTCATGCTGAACGCAATAGGATACGTCAGTTCGTGCATTATTTAAACTTCGAACATAGTAAAAAGTCGGCAAAAGTTTAATTCATATACATGAATACAACAATATTTAACAATTTACACTATTTCTTGATGTGCAAAGATTACCAGTTCTGTCATCGGTACTCATGCTTTGGACGACGGGATTGCGTGCTTCCTGGCTGCAATTAATTTCCGTAATCTTTGAGTGCCAACATGAACAACAGAAAAACCATTCGAAGCCTTATCGAAGAACATTAATCAAATGAGCTGGTTCCCCTTCTTTTTTTTGTTTTATTAAAAGATTAAATCGTTGCAATGCGAAATGACAGTGGGAAAGTTTGAGAGAAATATGTTGAAGAAAAGACGAAAAAATAAATTTCTTGTGAGCAGTTTTAAAAATCCTTAAAATACTTTAATTAATTGCTTAAGCAGCAGGCGCAAAAGAGCAATTCGCATACTGAAAAGACGCAACTAAAAGTATTGATGACAATGAAATGAAGCTTTCATCGCGCTTTTACCTCAGCGCTTTTTGTGAAATTAATTCTATTTCGTTATGCGTCGTGTATAAAGGCAAAACAGAGATAGCTTTACACAGTCACGGAGTACGCTTCGAACGAGATTATTGTGGAGTAAACGGGATCTTCAGATTTTGTGTTAAAATAATACCTGAGCCAGCAATAACCAACTATGGAAAACGAAGAAGCCAAAATTGATACAAGTAAGCTACAATTCAAGGTTTCTCAATTCGTAAACTAAATTTGTAACAGTAACGCTTTTTTTTTCAACAGTAACAACGAATACAGAAGTATTGGCCATTGGAGAGAAGAGAAATAAGAACAAAAAAGAGAGAGAGAAGCCAGAAAAAATCGATGAGCGAGCGAAATTCAAGTCCGATTGCTTGAAGCGGCTTAGTCTACTTCTAATGGGAAGTCAAACTCCCTTTGTGGGTACCGAGGACACAACAAAATCGAGTTGGATTGGAATAAAGAGGATTAAGCAGCTTAATAAGCCCGATCGTTTTAAATTCTATTATGTGCGAAGTAAAAATCGTCCGGATACTGAGTTATATTCTTTTCGCACACAAAATCCCGCAGCGATAATGTATGGAGTGAGAAAGCTACTGAAAGACGAAAATTGGATATCAAAATATGTGATACAATCGCCACTCAAAGTGCGCAAACAATACGATAATGATGAGTCATACTATATTCAGTCAATCATTTCTGAAGTAATTGATGTTGAATGTAATAAGATATCTCAGTTTATGCATTACTTAAACTTCGAACATAGTAAAAAGTCGGAAAAAGTTTAATTCATATACATGAAACAACAATATTTATGAATAATTGTGTGTTTATTTATTTCGTTAATTTCTTTTACTATTTTTTTTTTTGTTCTCTGGATGATTTTTTGTAGTGTTCTTAAACCAAATTGCAATCGATCAACTGGCTCTCTTCATTTGCTGGCGTTCTCTTAGCACTCTCAGTTCGGTTTCGCGTTCTCCGCAAATGCGTTTGCGCATAATTTGAAATGTAGAAAAGCTTCGAGGCACGTAAACAAAAGAGCAACCAATGCATACGAGTACATGCCCATACACAGACCTTATACAAACTTTAAGCTTTCGTTGTGAAACTTCGATCTGTGTAGTGTACTAAATAAAGCTTTGGGTCAAGCACAGTCAATCAGCTGTTTTGAATGAGTAAACACGCACAAACAAAATATGGAAGAAGTTAGTTTGGAAAACAAAAAAGACAAAAGTAAATAAATAAGTTAAGATAAATTTTAGCAAACAAATATTCAAGTTTTTGATTTTCCAACAGTGAGCACAATTACAAACGCAGTAAATGTATTGGCCATTGGGGATGAAGAGGAGACTTCAGAAAGCAACAACCTGGCGCCAATATCCAAACAGAAACGTTTTCAGATGCGTTATGAGAAGCATTTGAGTATACTTTTAAATGGGGGTCGACCACTCAGCAGCGATTGTAAGAAGTGGAATTCTTATGAGTACTTTTCAGTGGCAAGCATCAAGGAGGAAAATCAACCCAGACGTTATCACTTTCGCTGCAGTCGCAAAAGAGATTTTCGGAGTGGTGAAATTTTTAATGGACCCACTTTTAAGGCCCAGCATGTAATGGATGAAGTTAGAAAAGTACTGAAAGATGAAAATTGGATATCAGAGTATGTCATCGAAACACCTCTAAAAGGAAAAACTGGAGCTGACGCATGCTATAATTGTAATCAATACATTCAAAATGTAGCTTCTTATGCCATGGGTGCAGCGTATCAAAGGATTTTTCTTTTTGTGATTCATTTACACAAAGAATATATGAAAAATAATTAACCATTTCATATGTAACATTTAACATTTCCACATTCGCCTAATATTAAACTAAATGATTTATATACCAAAAGAAACTATTCATTTGTATCAAACTCTTTTATTTGGATCTTATATTTAAAAACAAATCAAGCAACAATTAAATATTTATAATTGTGAAATTTTGTTCTCTGTTGTTCTCTGTTGTGTAAACAAAACAATGCAGCAATCGGATCAGCTGGTACCTATTAGTATGACGGCATGCAGTCTATAAAAATGAGAGAGAGCTTTTAGACAGTCACGAAACTTCAAATAATAAGTCAGCTGGTCTCATATTTTTAAAGTAGATAAACACAAAATATTATGAAAGAAGTTAATATAGGAAACGATACTAGTAAGCTACAATTTCTGATGTATGTCTTTATTCAAATATTCTAATTGTAAATTAATCCTATTTTCAGCGCTGGCCGCAGTGACGTCAAGCGAGAGTGAAATGCTTTGATGAAATTGTTTGTATTTTGCTATTCGTAGTGCTTAAAAGCAAAACAGAGAGAGAGAGAGAGGGAGAGCTTTTATACAGTCGCGGAGTTGGCTTCAAACGAGTAGTAAGTCAGCTGCGCCTGATATTCAAAATAAATAAAAAACACAAGCAATTATGGAAGAAGTTAATACAGAAATAGAGACAAGTGAGCTGCAATTTCCTTCTATTATATCTCTAAATATTCTAATTGTAATCTAATTGAACTTCCAGCACTGGCCGCAGTCACGTCGAAAGCAAAGGTATTGGCAATTGGAGATGGTGAGAGATGTGACAAGTCCAAAAATAATGCGGTAAAAGACAATGACACGAAGAACTTTATGGCTGACTGCTTAAATCATGTTAGTCGACTTTTATTGAGTGGTCTAACTCCTATAGAAGCTCGACGTGATTGGCCCTGGGAGGTCTTGGAGATTAAGTTTATTAGGGAAGATAACCAGTTGAAACGCTGTCATTTTCATTGCTATCGCTCACGAAAATATTTGCATGATTATTGTACTGACCTAAAGCATGTCTGCATATACAATGCAGAGCTCGGACTGCATGAAATAAGGAAACGATTGAAGAGCGAAAATTGGATATCAAGATACGTGTTGGAACTGCCACTCAAAACAAAGCTTGATCCTGAAATATATGGGACCGGTGAAACTGCCATTTGGGGTGTATGTAATTCTGTTGTTTCTGATAATCGAAACGATGTGTTTCGTTTCCTGCATTTTTTACACAAGCAATATGTTGAAGAAAAGGCGAAAAAATAAATTTCTTGTGAGCAGTTTTAAAATGATTTAAAATACAATTCGCATACTGAAAAGACGTAACTAAAAGTATTGATGACAATGAAATTAAGCTTTCATCGAGCTGTTGCCGCAGCGCTCTCTGTGAATTTAATTGTATTGCGTTAAGAGCTTTTTGTGAAATTAATTGTATTTCGTTATGCGTAGTGTATAAAGGCAAAGTTGGGAGACAGCTTTACACAGTCACGGAGTACGCTTCAAACGAGATTATTGTGGAGTAAACGGGGTCTTTAGATTTTGTATTAAAATAATACCTGAGCCAGCAATAACCAACAATGGAAAACGAAGATGCCAAAATTGATACAAGTAAGCTACAATTCAAGATTTCTCAAGACGTAAACGGAATTTGTAATAGTAAAGCTTTTTTACTATCAGTAACCTCGAAGACAAAAGTATTGGCTATTGGAGATGAGAGAAAACCATACGCAAAGAAGAAGAAGCCAGTAAAAGACGATGACAGAGTGAAACTCAAAAATGATTATTTCAAGCGCATTGGTTTCCTTCTAATGGGAAGTCATGCTCCCATCGGGGATGTCAATTCAACCACATCGGATTGGTTTGGAATAGAGACGATTAAGAAACAGGATCAGCCTAATCGTTTTCAATTTTACTGTGTACGCAGTAAAAATCATCCGAATACTAAGGTATGGTTTTTCCCCACACATAACGCCCAGTCGATATTGCACGGAGTGAGAAAGCTACTGAAAGACGAAAATTGGATATCAAAAGATGTGATACAATCCCCACTCAAAGCAGATGTAAGCGGTCAATACTATAATGATGAGACATACTACATTCACAGAATGGTTTCTAAAGTATCTTATGATGAACACGTTAAGCTGTCTCAGTTCATGCATTACTTAAACTTCGAACATAGTAAAAAGTCGGCAAAAGTTTAATTCATATACATGAATACAACAATATTTAACTATTTACACTATTTCTTGATGTGCAAAGATTACCAGTTCTGTCATGCTACAATTAATTTCCGTAATCTTTGGGTGCCGACACCCCTTCTTCTTTTTTTGTATTACTAAAAGATTAAATCGTTGCAATGCGAAATGACAGTGGGAAAGTTTGAGAGAAATATGTTGAAGAATAGGCGAAAAAATAAATTTCTTGTGAGCAGTTTTATATAAAAGAGCAATTCGCATACGGACAAGACGCAACTAAAAGTATTGATGACAATAAAATTAAACTTTCGTCGAGCTTTTACCGCAGCGCTTTTTGTGAAATTAATTCTATTTCGTTATGCGTAGTGTATAAAGGCAAAACAGAGATAGCTTTACACAGTCACGGAGTACGCTTCAAACGAGATTATTGTGGAGTAAACGGGATCTTCAGATTTTGTGTTAAAATAATACCAACTATGGAAAACGAAGAAGCCAAAATTGATACAAGTAAGCTACAATTCAAGATTTCTCAAGTCGTAAACGTAATTTGAAGTATAGTAAAGCTTTTTTACTATCAGTCACATCGAAGACAAAAGTATTGGCTATTGGAGATGAGAGAATACCATACGCCATAAAGAAGAAGCCAGTAAAATACGATAACAGCGTGAAACTCAGACATGATTATTTGAAGCGCATTGGTCTACTTCTAATGGGAAGTCAAGCACCCATTGGGGATGTCGACGATTCAACCACATCGGATTGGATTGGAGTAGAGACGATTAAAGAACATAATAAGCCCGATCGTTTTAAATTTTACTGCCTACGCGGTAAAAATAATCCGAATACTAAGTTATGGTTGTTCCGCACACATAATGCCCAGGCGATAATGTATGGAGTGAGAAAGCTACTGAAAGACGAAAATTGGATATCAAAAGATGTGATACAATCCCCACTCAAAGCAGATGTAAGCGGTCAATACTATAATGATGAGACATACTACATTCACAGAATGGTTTCTAAAGTATCTTATGATGAACACGTTAAGCTGTCTCAGTTCATGCATTACTTAAACTTCGAACATAGTAAAAAGTCGGCAAAAGTTTAATTCATATACATGAATACAACAATATTTAACTATTTACACTATTTCTTGATGTGCCAAGATTACCAGTTCTGTAATTGGTACTCATGCTTTGGACGACGGGATTGCGTGCTTCCTGGCTACAATTAATTTCCGTAATCTTTGGGTGCCGACAAGAACAACAGAAAAACCATTCGAAGCCTTATCGAAGAACATTTATCAAATGAGCTGGTTCCCCTTCTTTTTTTTTGTATTACTAAAAGATAAAATCGTTGCAATGCGAAATGACAGTGGGAAATCTTGAGTTTGAGTGAAAAATTGTGTGTTTATTTAATTCGTTAATTTCTTTTACTGTTTTTTTTTTTGTTCTCTGGGTGATTTTTTGTAGCGTTCTTAAACCAAATTGCATTTACGAAAAATGTGCGCCCTTATTCTAGATGTACTTGTGTGTATGTATGTATGGATGTATGTTTAATAAAGATATAGAAATGTTAACTTTTAGCATAATTCTCATAATTGTTAATCAGCTAAATAATAATACTGTTCACAACACGCCAATGGTATAAGAGTTTAACAATTTTCCATAGAAAAATGATGATTCGATATAGACAATAAATATAGAATACATATTATTATATATTTTTTATATATAGAATTTATATTGCTGCACCATAACAACTAACATAAACAGCTAATATCTTTGTTCAACTTTCATCTATGCACATAATCAATTTAATTTTGGAACAAATGTGAACAACGCTGGGCGTAAAATAGGCGCTAATTGTAAATATTGTATATATATATATATATATATATTTATATATATATATCTTTATGTATGTATAAGTACACATATATACAGTTGTATATGTATATACGTGATTATATATTTGTAAATGCCGTCCATATGGTACTCGTAATTGTATGTACGTATTATCAACGCTAATTGCACTATTTATTATATTTTCTGTATGTTTGCTTTGAATTACACTGGCTGCCAATTTATAAATGATAATGAAACCAATAGCGATCAAATGGTAAAGTCTTAAAGTAATAGCTACACGAATTTGATACAAATAAATATGTTTAATTAGAGTAAGGAATAATATAACTTTTGAAAAACAATGTAAATTGCTTCATTTTGAATACCAATCGAATATTTAACAGCAATCTGCTTTTTGTTTTATAAATATCTAAGAAACATAATTTAATAGTCATTAAGTTGTCAGCTTCAAGTAACAAGTTTTAGCATAGTGTTAGGTGGAGGACAATTGCTTAAATTGAGTTTCTTTATCATATATATCTATATAGATATATAACTTAATTTAAGGTTCGAAATACTTTAAATACTTGCTTGCGTATAATGAAGATATGTGTTTAACCAAAGTTAACAACAGAATTCAATGTGAGGGACTCATAAATTGCACTTCACTACTTACGATATACATAAATATAGGTAAATGGTAAATGGCAGCTTAAACTGATTCTATCTAAGGGAAATGCATCAACTGGAAGCCTGACTGTAGCAAACACAAGCATACGGCGCCAGTGTAAAGGACGTTTATGGCTTGGAAATGCAGTTTTTGCTAATATTATAATGATGTATAGGCTATTTTTAATATTAGCGTATTTCAAAATTGCTTTAGAAAAATGTTATGCAAGAAGTCTTCGGTCTCGGTTCGGAGTGGAGTGAATTGGTTTTGGATTGGGGGAAGTGGGATTGGGGCATGGAATTTGGGGCTATCATTTACGTGACAGCATTATATTTATAACAGTGCCGCTGTTAAGCAGCACACGTTTGGCATCGCTCAGGTTGGCATTGGTCAGGTCATATCCATCGATTTCCAGCAACTTATCATTAAGGCTCAGCAGACGCGCCGCATTCGAATTTGGGATAATCGCGCTCACAAAAATACCCGACTGAAATTGAAAATTGATGAGTTAGTAAATTACATATATATATATATAGCATCTATAATCTCACCTGATTGAGCAGCTCGGCTATGTCAAAGCCAATGCTGTGCTCCCATTTCAGTGTCACCTGTTTCACAGTGGGATTCTTGTGTACACCAAAGATCCACGTCGATTTCTTGCCACCCCTATACGTGTTGTTGGTGGCCGTGGAGTTTAATGAGTGCTGCGATAATGTATCATCTATATCCTGCAGCGGTAGCTGCTCCTCTTCGTTCTCTGCTTCTTGCTGCTCTAGCTCCTGCTCCCGGTCCAGCTCAAGCTGCAGTTCAAGCTGCTGCTCCAACTGCTCAAGCTGCTCCATGCTGATGTTGTTTTGGTAGTCCAGCTGCTCCGATTGTGCATTAATTGCAGTTGTCTTAAAATTGCTATTTAACGCATCCTGATAGCTGCTGTTCTGCTCGTATTGCTGCTGCTGCTGCTGTTGTTGTTGTTGTTGGAGCTGCTTGCGCTGTCGCATCGACTCGTACAGAGTTAGATCTTCGGGCGTCTTCTTGGTGTACACACGTGCTATGTGATACGGCGGCGGTTCCATGCGTGGCGGTGGCGCTACCGCCTGGTGCTGTTGTTGGTGCTGCTGCTGCTGTTGCTGCAACGGCTGTAGCTCATAATGCTGTTCGCTGCCATTGGACAAGTGTGGAACTGTGCTGGCATCCACATAGAGCGGCTGATAGTGTGTCGTGTCAAAGTTGGCCAACGGCAAACCATAATATTCCTGCGTGGCCTTCTGCTGCTGATAGACCCCATAGATGTGTGCCGGCTCTGGGGCAACACCATATATTGCACTTGCTGCGGCATGATCCACAGCATCCTGATTGCTATCACAGTGTGTCATGGCCACCTGACCATTCGGCACAACGACACGCGCCTCGCGCACCTCACTGGACGGTGTTGTGGACACCATTGCCACCGATGAGGATTCTGTTGCCGCTGAAGTTGCTGCTGCTGCATTTGCTGCCTGTGCTTGTCGCATATATTTGGCCATTTGACGCAGTTCCTTGGGATACGGCGTGGGCGAGCGCATTAAACGCACCGAGCTGCCAGCTGGTAGCTGCTGCTGCTCCGGATTGCCGGGCGTCGTCACATTCGTCACATAACTGGCGGCTGGATAGCTGGGCGCAGGTTGCGGTGCACTACTCGCATTCTTTGCACTCAAAATGGTCGCCTCTTCGGCAAAGCAAATGCGACGCGATGGACTCGATGGCGGCTGCTGGGCCGGCTGTTGCTGGTTATGATTGGCATAAACGAACTCGTATTGCTCCTGGACCTGCTGTTGCTGCTGTGCCTGCATCTTGAACGTCACCTGAGGCAGCATAAAGCACGTCAGCTGCGTCTTGCTGCTCGCATCCAAATACTGTAGCGGCACTAGTGGCTGCGATTGATTGTCGCTCAGCCAGAGCGACGTGAGATTCACCAGACTCAGCATGGAAACGGGCAATGCATTAATGTAGTTATTCACCACATTCAACACTTTGAGCTTGCCCAGATGCCCAATGTTTTGGGGCAGTGCCGATAGCTGATTGTTGGCCACACTAAGAACACTCAGTTGGCTGCAGCTGCACAGTTCGTCAGGCAGCTGGCGCAATTGATTGTCGTCGGCGAACAGAAAGCGCAACTTGACCAGCGAGCCAATTGTGCTCGGCAATCGCATCAGCTTGTTGTGGCTAAGCACCAGCTCCTCCAGCTGCTCCAGATAGCTAATGCTGTCGGGCAGTTCACTGAGGCCATTCGATTCACATTTGAAGGTGACCAGCGACTTGAGCATGCCAAAACTAAAGGGAAACGCCTCCAGATTGTTGGAGCACACAGACAGCACCTCAACATTGCGCCAGTTGCTCAGCTCGTTGGGCAGTGCATCCAGCAGATTGCCATTGGCCTCGAAGTGCTGCAATTCGCGCAGTTTTCCAATGTTTGGGGCAACACGGCGAATTTGATTAAAATCAATCCACAGTTCCCGCAGCGATTTCAGTTCGCCAATGACCTCTGGCTATGTGGAAAGAACAAGCTATAAATCAATTAAATATTTACAGTGCTAAATGCTTACCAACTCTGTGAACTCATTGCCGCCAATGTCCAGACGCTGTAGGCTGACCAAGCGCACCATCGATTTGGGAAGCGTGATGAGATTGTTGAGTCGCACTTCCAAAATTCGTAAATTGACCAAACGACCAAAGTTCGCTGGCAAGAATTCAAGATACGTTTCATTTAACAGCAGCTCCTGGAGCGATATCAGCGACGTTATTGCATCCGGCAAACGCTGCAGACTGTTGCAGCTGAGATCCAAATGGGTTAAATGCTTGCACGCCTTTATCTCTTCCGGCACATTGACAATAACTGCAATGTAATAAGTTAATTTCCATTAATTTTAGCTGAAGTTTTACTAGTTTAGAGTGTGACTAACGATTGCGGTTCAGATCCAAGTGCTGCAATTGGCGCAGCGAGCCAATGGCTTGTGGTATGCTCTCCAGATTGTTGCTGTTCACTTGCAGCACACGCAATCCCTGACAGTAGAATAGCTGCGGCGGCAACGTTTGCAACTGAAACAAGCAAGGATATTTATATAATTTACATGCATTTTTTTTATAGAAATACTGTGGTGTCTTGGAAATTAGAACAGAAATTACAATACTAATATTTAATATATAATTTATATTTTGAAATAAATTTTCAAAATTGATAATGCAAATTAATTGCCAATTGGAATCAACTGTTGTGCCAATTGTCGAGCGACGACCACTCAGAATAATTTCGATTGTGAATAGGCAACTCACCCGCGCATTGCTCAGATGCAGTTCCTCGAGTGTCCTTTCGTGCTGCCAGACCTCGGGAAAGGCATCTTGGAGCGGTGTATTGCTGTAGTCCAGCTTGTCGATGACCTCTTCACGTTTGAATTTGAAGCATGGGAAGCATTTCGACAGCAGCGGCATTTTGCCAAACGATTCGATTTTCCTATGTTTCTATTGCTCTACGTTCGTTATTTAAGGCACGACCGTTGTTATTATTATTGTTGTTGGTTTTGTTGTTGATATATTATTATTGCGGGCTAAAATACACACACATCGACAGACACACACACACAGAGACACATGAGTAACGAGAGAATGAGAATGAAATATGCGCTTAAGCCAAGTCGCATAACTCACCTATGAATCATCGCTGCTTTTGCTGCTGCTGCTGCTGTTGTTGCTGCTGCAGCACAAAGACAGCGGCCGCATTGAACGCTGCTCCGTTACAATTCATTGGCATTTTGTTGGGCTTGTTATTGTTCCAACACTCACACACACATACGCACACCAACATCCATGTATGTATGTAAAAAAACAAACAATAAAGTGGGTCCGCTTGCCGGCACCTCGCAAACTTTTGCCGTTTACTATCTTATGCTCGTTGCGCTTTCTGCACGTATTCGATGATTAATTTTTCACGCAATTTTAGTTTTCTTTAATGTTTTTCGCTTTGAAGACAAGTTGCGAGTTGGCAGCAGCCACAGTGCACAGGAATGCATAGCAACTGAAGTATCGATAACAGGTTCTGGGGGGCTATCGATATTCACCTGCAAAAAGCGTGTATGTTTTTAAATAAAACTTGCCATTATATTTATTATTAATATATGAAATTAAATCCACTCTTGCTTTCCTATAGTTAATTAATTGTTATGTAATGGTCGGCAGATAGATCGATAGGCGAGGGATATCGATGGGGGACCATATTCACAAAAGTAGGGTGGAGAAAAAAGAGATAAGGAAAAAGAAAAAAAAAAGATTTATTTACAAAGAAATTCAAATAAATTAATTGTAAATAAATTATGAAGTAATTATATATATAAAAAAAAGATAATATAAAATAAATAAATATAAAACAAAAGTAAAAGTAATAAATAAAATAAAAACATACGAACCGGCAGCAGCAGCAGGCGGAGCTATCCATCGCCGCCATCAAGGAAAAAATCGCCAGGGACAACTGAACTCAGGAACCAAGATTATATCAACACACCTGTGAGTTTGTTCCCGCCTAACTGCGGCAGAGTGAGCCAAAGACAGCTGATCGGCCTTAACCAATGCAATAGTGATGCTCATTTTGTTACTCAGTGATGCGCACTTTTGAAGCCAAATAAAAAAAGAAAAGAAAAATCATAAATATTTTGTAAGCTTTAAATTAAGTAGATAGATAAAATTGTATTAAATATATATAAGCGAATTTAGTGTTGGCCAACAAAATGTTAGGGATCACGATGTCACATGTATCACATGAGTTGTAAATTAAATAGTCTGAAAATAAAATGAACATGAGGTGGTAAATTAATGTGATTGGGTGAGATAAGGGCATAAGAAACCACCGAGAAATGAATAATTGTGAAAGGGAATTTCTCCAGGAAATTTAGAGGAGGAATCACTAGGAAGGGAGGGACACGCAGGCTGTACAACATCCACACAGCAAACACAGCAGCGAGCGGACTGGTTTGATGGAAATATTTGTTTTTTTTTATTTAAAAAAGAATACAAATTTTTTGTTAAATTGCCGCCCAATATATCGCGGTCGAACTACCGCTGAGCCGATAGCTAGCCGGCTGAGCGATATATTGGTGCTTTCGACAGGTAAGGCATAACCTGCAGCCAGTGTTGGTAAGGAGTATGCAGTTTGATTTATTTCCCGCCAGGTGTCGCTGGGGTGCAACTGTTGATGTTTAAATGTTCACTATAACAATATAACTTTATTGCCAGCAAACTAAGGTGTCATTTCCTCTTTCAATGTATTGTTATTTCAGTGTTGCGCAAATCAAATGTATTAACTATTGCTAAGTATCTGTAGCTAAGCTTCATGTCAATATTTGCTTTCCACTTCCTCGCTGCTTAATACTCTGCAAATAGGTTTCATCGCAAGTAAAAGCTAACAGTTAAATAATTAAGGAAATGCAAATCTCACACTTGAAACAGATGTAGCACATGAAAGTCTCCGAACAAATACAACAATTAAAAAAATAGAAAATAAATCAAAAGAAATAAAACAAACAAAGTTCCCCAAATGGACGATACTCAAAGTAGTGCGAAAATTAAACAAATAGCGTCCACTTTCCGTTTCGCGGAGGGCTCTCAACGAATTTACAATTCAAACAATTGTAAAGTTGAATGGCTCTGTGTAAATAAAAGCATGATAAACACAGCTTGTTAATTGTTGTTGTTGGCTTTTACAAAGACAAAAAATTTGACTAACAACGACGTAGACGTAAAATGCAATTGGCTTTTGGGATTTCAGTTTTGTTTTCAAAGTCGCGGGATGCAGTTGTGATATTTTTTTTGAATAAACGCCGTTAAAAATCCCAAATGTAATAAAGTTCGTTTTAAGAATGGATTTAATGAATACATACAACTAATGCATTTGAATTCAATATTTAAATAAAAGTGACTTAAATGTGTGCAAAAGTGAAAAGTAAATCATTAACGCTTGAACAAAAAATGTGGTACAACTTTAATTGTTAAACAAAAATTGTGCTTTGATTGCGAAATGAAAAAAGGCAACAAATTCACCTTTTATGTACTTTTAACCTTTATCCAATTATAGTTATGCGTGGCGGCTTTTCTCTTAGATGTCAAACAAGAAGTGTGATATCTCAGTGACAAAAACCCCTGAATAGAAACCGTGTCAATATGAATTAAAAATTTACAAGCAGCTGTTAAGTTTCCGCTTAAGGCAATTAAATTACATACAAGTCAATGTTAAATATGTAAATAGGTCGTTATTTTCATAGCTGAGATTGCGCCCTTGTTGATAAATAATTTAAACCACCTGTCGTAGTACTTAAACATTTCATTGATGTTACCGGAGCACATCGCACATGACTTATAGCGTGTATTTTACCACCCCCTGTGCAGTAGCCAACCCCAACTCCATGAATCACCCCTCATATCAATAAAAGCGCCGGTAGCGAGTTAGAGAGAAAGAGAGAGAGAGAGAGAGCGAGAGCGAGAGAGAGAGAAATAGGGAGAGTGCTTAAGGGAAAGCATTTACAAAGAGCGAAACGGTTATGCTTTGCTTTTTTCAGCTTAAAACAATTTAAATTATTTTAGTTTTTAGTTTAATTGTCCAATTTATTTGATTTTTAAAATGTTACGTTCACATGATGGGTTATAAATTTAATCCTGATTTAAGCAGTATTTTTTTGGATATTCGACCAAGCTTTAAATTGTGTTCATGCTTGGGTATCTTTAGTGCTCAAGATCTGTGATTTTATAATATGAAACATAAGTAATTCTCATTTATTTTTATATTTGTTACCCATCTAATATTTGCCCTGTGCATCATTTTGAGCCTGGCATTTTGGCACCTTCTAAGCTTTCTTGGTTTTGGTTTTGGTTTTGCTCTTCGTTTTGCTCTTTTTGATGGTCTTCTTTTCAGGAGATTTGGTTGGAGCACTTGCGGCAGCTGGTGGCGCAGCAACCACAGCCGATTCGGCAATTGCCACCGGAGCAGAAATGGTTGATTTTTTGGTGATACTACGCTTTTTGCCAGGCATGTTTACACTTTTAGCCAAAAAACGAACACGTTACATAAGTTTCGAAATTTTTGTGGAATAAAAATTTGGATCAATCCACAATTGACAAAATTGTGTACTGAACTAAAAATGAGACATGAAAACTGTAGGCGGGATACAGCGTGCGATGGAAATTTCAACGATTCCTCAGTTTTCATTGTGTGTTTGCTACAGCAATCCTGCAACAATAGTCATTTCATAGATTGATTTTTGTATTTCAAATTTCGTAATTCAGTCGCGACCGATTTGCAACCGTTTCAATCTGCCCCATCCCCCACAAAGAAGATATATATATACAGACAGCGAGAGAGCGAGGGAGAGTGCATCGCCTGGGGGCTGAATCTATCTCTTGTTCTCTCTCTCTCGCCCTCTCTCTCTCTCTCTCTTTCTCTCTCTCGCCCTGTGGGTCGCTCTCATTTGCCGGGCGGTCGACAGTCGTGGTAGTGAAAGCGAAGGAAAAGCGCGTGTGGCAGCTGCCGCCTGTGTATTTTAGTAGAATTTTCCATTTAATTTTAGTTATTAGCGCAAAGAACATGAACACTAGTCAAACACAAGTATTATCAACTAAAAGCACAAATATTTAAGCAACAATTAACTAGCAAATTCAACACACTAAGCAGGCCAAGCTGTTTTTATCTCAAAGTCAAACAAAACAAAACAAAGCAAAATCAAAACCGAATTATTGATTTTTGTCTCTCGTGTAAATTTGTACACAAAAAAAGAAAAGCGAAGAAAAACACTGACTGTGCAAATAATAAATAATTGCTAACAACAACAACTACAAAAAAGTGTGCAACATATTGATAATGTTAACTAAGCGGAATACGGTGACCACACAAGTCCAGGACACGTCCCCCGAGGGCACATCTGTCGCTCTGGATACGCGTCTCTCGCGGCACGTGGTCAGCGTTGTACCCAAGAAGCGGTAAGTCCATCAGTCATCCTCTCTTCTCTCTGTTGTCATTCAAATTATCACTGTTCCTGTCTTGCTTGTAATTTAGCCAGGAGGTGCTCAGATGGTATGGCTGGGGCTACAACGATTCGGAGTTCTATGGTGAGCAGGGCACCATCTGTTTCAAAGGCGACAAGTGAGTACAATTCTCGAGGAATAGATACACATTAGTTAACCCATTTAATTAACTATACTGATTTCTAATTTTGTCCTTATGCAAATCAAATTGGCCCACAAAAAGTGCTTTAGGAAGGGTCTTAATCGTTCGAGAGCCATAACTTTGTCAAAAATCACACGATTTTCAGGAATCATGGCTATTTGGTCGTGGTTTGACCTCTAGGTTAAAACTACATTCAAAGTTGGACACGCGATTCTGGCTATAAATTCATGTTAAAATTATACCCCCAAAAAGTGGTTTTGGGCAGGGTTCAAAACTTTAAAGAGTCATAACTTGCCCAAACCTAGCCAGATTTTTAAGAACCGTGACATTTTAGTCATGGCTTGAACTCTAGATTATGACTACATTCAAAGTTGAAAACGCAATTCAAACTCGAAATCCAAGTTAAAATTTGATGATTTTTTTTCTTTAACTTTTCTTCTTTTAAACCTTTGATTAAGATAAATCTTCTCTTATTTCAGATATCCGCTGGGCGGCTGTGAATTGCCGAATTTCACGAAATGGGCGAGGAGTAAATTTGATCTGTATGTCGATTCCACCAAGGAATATCCACAGCTGCCCCAAAAATATCCGCTGCCCGTGGAGAATGCTGGCTTCCTCAACGAGCTGCGCAGCTGCACCAAAGTGGAGCATTCGCAGGAGGGAGTCGATCGTTTGGTGCGTTGCCACGGCCAGACCTTGAATGACATCTACAGTTTGTGGCACAACAAGTTCCGACGCATACCGGATGTGGTGGTGTGGCCACGTTGCCACGATGAGGTGGTGCAGCTGGTGAATCTAGCCCATAAGCACAATGTGATGATGTTGCCCTATGGCGGGGGAACGAGTGTTTCGGGTGCCGTCACCTGTCCGCAGGAGGAGCAACGGATGATTTGTGTGCTGGACACCTCGCAAATGAATCGAATGTTGTGGCTCAATCGGGAGAATCTCACCGTGTGCTTTGAGTCGGGCGTGGTGGGTCAGGATCTGGAGCGTGTGCTGCGCGAGCAGAATTTGACGGTGGGTCACGAGCCCGATTCGTATGAGTTTAGTACTCTGGGTGGTTGGGTGGCCACACGTGCCTCTGGCATGAAAAAGAACGTGTACGGGAACATTGAGGATCTGGTGGTGCGTGTGAGAATGGTCACCCCCACTGGCACCCTGGAGCGGGAGTGCAGTGCGCCGCGTGTCAGCTGTGGACCGGATTTTAATCACATCATACTTGGCTCGGAGGGAACACTGGGTGTGATCACGGAGGTGGTGCTCAAAGTGCGTCCTTTGCCACCTGTTCAGCGCTTTGGATCCCTTGTGTTTCCCGACTTTGAGCAGGGTGTGCTCTTTATGCGTGAGGTGGCCCGGCGTCGCTGCCAACCGGCCTCGGTGCGTCTGATGGACAACGAGCAGTTCCTGCTCGGTCAGTCACTGAAGCCCGCGAAGAGCTGGCTGGCCAGCTGCCTGGATGCCATCAAGCAGAGATATGTGACCGCCTGGAAGGGTATCGATCTGTCGCACATTTGCGCTGCCACGCTGCTCTTTGAGGGCGAACAGAAGGAGGTGCAGCGCCAGGAGGCGCTCATCTATGAAATAGCCTCAAAATACAAAGGATTTTCAGCGGGTGGTCAGAATGGTGAACGTGGCTATGTCTTCACCTTTGTCATCGCCTACATTAGGGTGAGTATAATAAACATAAAATAAAAAATCTTAGGTTGAAATATAGAAACTTGCTCTAAATTGATAATCGGCTTGAACACTAGAAATATTGGTTAGTCATGAGAAATGATTTCCGTTTTAAATTGATAGAATTGCTTTCTGTTGTTAAGAAAACGATTTCGAAAAAGTAGTTTTGAGCCATCTTCTAGGTTGCTTTGTATTAGAAATATTGTTGGCTAATATAAATATAATTGATTTAAGTTGATATCTATTTTTGTTATTATTAAATTCGAAATGAACGTTTTGCAGGACTTTGCACTGAGTCAAGGAATTGTGGCTGAATCGTTTGAGACCTCTGTGCCCTGGGATCGTTGCTGTTTGCTCTGTCGCTGTGTGAAGCAGCGCGTCGTTTCGGTTAGTCGTATACCCTGCAATTTCTAATCATTTTCTAATCGATATTCCAATCCTGCAGGAGTGCCGCAAACTCAACATTACGCACTACACTATCTCCGCCCGGGTCACACAGACCTATGATGCGGGTGCGTGCATTTATTTCTATTTTGGTTTTCGATATGTGAACATACCGAATCCGGTGGAGGTGTTCGAGGCGATCGAGCATAGTGCACGTGAGGAGATTCTGGACTGCGGTGGCTCCCTATCCCATCACCATGGTGTGGGCAAAATACGCAGCCATTGGTACAAAAATTCAGTCACCGAAACGGGCAGTTCCCTCTACACGGCTGCCAAGGAGCATTTGGATCCAAGGAATATCTTTGCTGTCGGAAATTTATTGCCAGCGCCGGACAAGTTGCAACACGAGAAGGAACAGTCAGCTGCAATTAAGGCCAAACTTTAAGACGATACTAGGACACTTGTAGAGCAATCCTTGTGTAAATCTCATCACTACCTTCAACTGCTTGCATTAATTTTGCATTTTTTAAGTCGGGACTCATTTTTTGTATGGGTGTTAACTCTTTGATAAATAAATGGCATATTTGTAGAACGAAATAACTCTCAACACTCTATCCCATCTCTGTCGACTGTCTTTTGAGGTAACCTTGACAGACTCCAGATAACAACGACATGCTCTGCTCCTCGCTCATTTGCTGGTGGTCCTCGACTGCATCTCTTCTTATCTTCCGGCCACAACCACAAAATGCAACATGCTTCAACTTCGAGACTTCAATATCGGGTGTCAGGTATCGGCGCATGTGCATAAGCCTTAAGGTAAAAGGCTACAAAACTATTTGTAGGCTATGTAGGGTATGTTAAAGCTTCTTGGTTTGCTAAAATGATCTTTAGAATTGTTGTCAGACAGTTCAATAATTATTCGTCTTTTCTTTACATTGTGGCGAGGTCAAAGTAGAATTTTCGATTTATTATTTTTTTTATAAAGTAATAGAAAATACTTCAAATCCATGATTTATTCTTGGTCTATGATTGGTTGGTGTTGCTAATATTAATGACGATATGAAAATGTAGTAAATAAATAATACATTTGCCTAATTTGCAACGGAAATGTTGAAAGCTGTATGCCAAAGTTTATTCTATGAGGCATATATATATATAGAGTCGTCTACTTTCAGCACTTCTACATTAAATGCTTACAAATTGATTGTTCAATACTTAAGTTCAGCTGCTGAGTTTGCAGTGTAGTGCAGTGCTGGGTGCATGCAACTTCAGCAGCAACTCCATCTGCAACTCCAAGTTGAATCTGAATCTGAATGTGCCTGTGCGTGCCTCCTAGACGAAAATCAAACCCAACTGACCGCCAACTGATCGTCTGATCTGCTGAACGTCTCATCTGATCATCGTGCTGTCATTTGCGGTCTGCCTTTGCCTAGGCTTGTCCCCATATTGCTTGTTGGTTGTTGTTGTTGTTGTTGCCAGGAGATCAAATGTCATCAAGTTGTCAACTTCGTTAGCTTGCCAAAGGCAACAACAACATCGACTTGCAAATCTCTTTTCGCCAGCTCCTTGCGCTCGTTAAATGGGCGACTTGGGTGAATGGGGCAGACGGCAGCTGCTTATTGATGATCGCAGTGTCTTGTGCCTTGTTACCAAATGCTAGTTACTCCCCAAAAGACTTTGAACACACTCACACACACACACACAACACACACATTCACACTCACCAAACACACATCGTTGGCACGCATACAAGGCCTATAAATAAAGATTAAAATCGGAGAATTGTGCAAAACTTAAACATGGCTGAGTCTCTCTCTCTCTCTCTAAGCCTGTATGTTGTTTTTCTTTCTTTTTTTTTTTGTTTTTTGTTGCTGCCAGCCACTGAAAATTGTCAGCAATTAACCCTTGGGTCAGTTTTGTACTCTCTGGAGTCTGGCTGGCATCGCTTGCAGTCCTGTGATTTATGCCACAAAGTGCCTTAAAGTCAAACACAATCAAGCTGGCAAATTTATGGCCAACAGTCCAGTCTTCCGTCTCCCATCTCCCAACTCGGACTCGGTCTCAGCCTCAGTCCTGTGCCACGTTTATCTGGTGGATGTTGCTCGCACATATTCATTCATTCATACATTCATAATGGCCATTCACATTCACATTCGGAACGTGCAATGTGTCACATTACTTCGCCTGTCATTTTGTTTGTTTTCACGAGAGACTCCCTTAAAAATGTGAAAATGCGTGGAACAAAAGTAGACTTTGTCTACCTGGGTTTAGGCCAACTCTTATTTGCATAGGAAACTCAGAGAGAGAAACAGAGAGAAAGGCTGAGAGAGCGTGCCTTATTCATTTAACTTAGTTGCGAGTGCCTAAAGGAAGGCTGCACTTAAATTTGTATTTTAATGTATATTTAAGAACTTTATTCACGCCACTGTGATAGATATCTAACTCACTAAACAAAATGTGTCTAAAAAATAAGCAGATTTTTATTCCCTGTGGTTTTGCAGGAAAATTATCTGCAGTGCAATTTCCTGTGACACTTCAGTTTTGAAGTCCATTAAGCGCACTCAGCTCGTAACTTATCAGTTGCAGACAAAGTTTCTGTGTGCGCTCACCTTTGGGGTGACATGCCAGCGACGCTGTTGTTGCAGAGTGTCCTTATCGAATGCATCGGCTTTGCACATTGTCACATCTCTGAGCATGCTCATTAGAGGGCCCGAGACAGGACCCTCGAGTAAAAAGAAAAAGAAATAGAAAAAGAGAACCTTGGCAGCTGAAAGATCACACGCAGGTACAGCTTCCGCCTGGGGCGTCTTACGACCTGTTTTTGCTACGATTGCAAAATTTGTTTAGTTGCAAAAAGGCAATTAGCCAATCAACTAACAAATACCCAGTACCAATTGTAGAGAATGACGACCGTCTTCATTTGCCCAGATATTGTGTTGAGAAAATGAGATTTAATCGTGTCGTAGTTATACAACTACTAACTAACTATTCTCGCGCAGTGTAGACTTGCTTATACGCAATAACAACAGGCCAGTTAACCCATTGAAGCCTACAACACACCAACACAACAACACACAAATACAGACAAACAACAAACGCTGGCTGCGCTGCTTTCAATGGCAGCGAGCGCCCAAGCTGCGGCTGCGGCTCAGTTGCTGTCGCACCTGGCGCTCAGTTGTGGGCAGCGCGGCCAGCTAACAACAACGGCAAACAAAACGCAAAACGCAAATCGCAATCGCAGTCGCGACGTGCTCAGCATTTTGTTACGATTTAGAACTTTTTGTTGAGGAGTTCGATCGACAGAGAGAGGTAGAGAGAGAGAGAGAGAGAGAGTGCGAGAGAGAGAGTTAAGAACAGAAGGAGCATGTGAGCGGGAGAGCGAGGGAGTGTGAATGTGTGCGAGAGATCAAGATTTACAAAACAGCATCAGCAGCAGCAGCAACAGCAACAGCAACAGCAGCAGCAGCAGCAGCTAGCTGCAGCTTCTCATCGCCTGGGCTGCAACAGTTACGTTTCGTGCGCGTCGCTTGCAACATCGAAATTGTTATTCGGTTTCCGTTTCGTTGACGTTTGTGTTCTGTTGTGTTGTGTGTGCTTGCGTGTGTGTGTGTGTTGTGGGAAAAAATGCAACGAAAATGTCTGTCCATTAGTTGTAAACGTTTTGGCGCTTGTAATTGGCGGCAGCTGCTTTTGTTTTGCCTTTAGGAGTCAACCAAAAAGTGAAACAGGTGCGTTCACGCATGAAAATCCACCAAAAAAAAAAAAAACCAATGTTAACTGAAACCAAAAATAAAAAACCAAAAAATAACAAACAAAAAATGAAATACATACTAAAAAAATGTTGCTGTAAAGCGAGTAGACTTAAGATCCAAAAACAATTAAGTCATTAAAAATGCATTATGACGAGAGCTTAACCGATCCAAAGTCCGAACACCTGCAATGACTTGTAGAAAATATTTTCTAGCCATGTGCAGCTTAGCCTGAAGATGATACCAAGTGTTCTCAGCCTGGCTTTAGTTTGAATCGTTTATCAAACTGACTCATTGCCTCAGATTCTTGCTAAAAACTACCCACGCGATTTCTGGTTTATATCATGTGCTTTTTAGATATTTACGATAGAGTCCGTAAAGCCAAAAATCATAAAACCATAAATTTATTTTTGCCATTGGATTTTTGTTGATTCCGCTTAATTGTTGACCGTCTTGGCTTGGACTTGGCTTAAAAGAATAAATACTTGACTTAGCCACCAACGCAAAATTCTCGACTCTAAAAGTTGTCGGTTTGATGGATTTTTGTGTAGGCCGCAATTGCCTGGCTAACTTATGGACTCAACTATTAAACTACGAAATGTTCTAGTGTTTAAAATCTTTGCTAATCAAATTGCTGACATACTTTTAATTGTTTCAATTGGCAAATGGTTTGCACAGCTCTTCAGCTAGTGTAGTAAATAAAAAATAGTAATTCCACTTGAACTGACTGCTTACAAATATTCCCCATTACAGATGTACATTCTTCATGTAGATTTTAAAATCTTTTTGACTTAAGAATGTGTCAAAAATATGTTGCTTGATATTCCAATATTTCATAGTGCATTTTTAGTGTGCTAATGTTTTCAAGTACTTATCCAAGATAGTAAAAATAAACTATTGCTCGAGATAAAGATGCCTTGAACATTAAAAATTAGAATGTTAAAACAGTTTGAAGCTAAAAATAAGTTTATGACAATCTTCATGGGCAAATAAATGTCTTAAAATATATAAATACCATTTCAGAAATTGGATTTTATGAGCAGCAAAAACTATAGCATTGTTTGTAGTTTGTAGATTAATTCTTTCGAGACTTTGGCAATATACAATTTTAATGCCTAAAATATGAAAATTGTTTTGGATTTTAGAGTTGTTAGGTAGTTGAAAGAGTTTCTTAGAAATATTCAAAATAAATATAAAATCTACTTAGCTGTGCAATTTTTAATTGAATAAAGAAGATAAATACTGCTAGCTTGTTGGAGTACAAAATATACATTTAATGATCTTTAATGTCTTATTAGTTATAAAACGTTCGCCGTCAGATGCATGACTTTATGATATATTCATGTTCACGTCTGTTCAAGTCATGCTTGCTCATAGCTTGAGTAATTTATCTAATAAATACTTGAACTGCTCATCAAGTTGACGTAAAACAAATGCTGCCTGTTCAGCATAACGAAACATGAACAGCAATAGTAAACCAGACAACAAACTCAACTACAACAGCATTTACATTTGCAGTGAACTACAAAAACAACAATAACAACAACAACAACAACAATGGCAGCAGTTGCAAGGTAGTTGGAGGTATATGCAGTCAAGGTGCGCTTAATTAACATGCAACGGGCAACTGGCAACTGGCAAACGACAACAACAGCAGCAGCAACAGCAGCAACATCGTCAAGCTAACGACAACAGCACGTCATAAGAGCAATCGACAATATCGAAAGCAGCAACAAAAGATTGCCGCTGGGTAGCAGCAGTAACAACAACACCAACAACAATTGCAACAAAAGTTCGCCAATCAGTCAAACTAAAGATGAGTTGTTCAGCATTGCTTAGGCCTGTGCC